TTAGATAACTGCTTAAACTTGGTATAATTTAGGCTTGTGTTATAATTAGCGTAGGAAGGAGAGTGTGATTCCCCCCTGAATTGACATCATATATGTATAAAACATGTTTAAAAGTTGTAAAAAAAAAGCCTTGGATACCATCAAAATGCAACATTTTCAGTTGAAAATTTAATAAATATATATTTCAGAATGGCTTTGCCACTCATTTTCTTTATGCTCCAAAAGTAGGAGCCCCTTTACAGATTTCTGCCCTACGCCCCCAGTGTCAGGTAACATTTCGCAAAAATTACACAAGGGCTATCTGCGCATAACTGCTGATAAGACTAAACGGAGGGCAACTACTGAACAGCATGAGGGTAACTACCGAACAATACGTGGGCAACTACTCAACATTATTTTTAATTATAATGAATTAAAATACCTTTCTGAATTGAACCCCCAAATCTTAGTTACGAACTACCGCATTTTTGTCTTTGTGCGTTAATTATTATTTCAAGTATTAGAAAAACAAAACAAAAATACATTGACGGTTTGGTTTATTTTGAATTTCGCGTAAAGCTACACAAGGACTATCTGCGTTACCCGTTTCTAAGTTTGCGGTCATAGACCAGAGAGAAGGTAGCTAGTCAACACCAATAACCGCCAACTGTTGGGTTACTCTTTTACCAATGAATAGTGCGATTGACCGTCACCCATGGCTGAAAGGGCGAGCATGTTAGGTGACGGGGTTTAGAACACGCGATCCTCAGTGGGAGTCGAGCGCCCTAACCACCAGGCCTAACATTAACGGAGATTGAAAGAATTAATAAATTATACTAGAATACCGAACTTTTAAAAGGATCGCGGGTTATAGATATATTAATCTAACTTTATAATGTTTGTAATTAAGCACAAAGCTACACAATGGGCTATCTGTGCTCTGCCCACCACGGGTATCGAAACCCGGTTTCTAGCGTTATAAGTCCGCAGACATACCGCTGTGCCACTAGGGGGCTAAAGACATGTAATACGTAGTGGTTTTGGATAGACCTAGCACCACCACGGAGCTCACTCAACTTTTACACATCATCGTCTGAACAAGCACCACTCATGGCGATATTTAAACAATGTTATTCTGAGCCAATTAAAATCTAGATCCCTCGTTATCCTCGCGTGGCTGGAGTTACAACAGTTAACAAATTATCTCCTTAAAAATAGCACCAAATTCAAATGTTTGTGTCTGCTTCTACTTTCAGAACACTGTGTAAACTGTACTTTCCAGCTAACCCTTAAATTTAACTATTCAACTTGTGTATCTGGCTTTCATTTTTATATGACAAAAAACAGAACACGATCCTTAATGAATAATCCCAATAGCTTCTTCCTAATATTTACCATAAGCTTACAAGAATAGCTTTCACTCTGGTAAACATAGGCCTAGAAAATTAAACATAAACAAACAAAAAAACACACGGAAGATTAACCTCATTAGTAATGTCAATGTAATTCTTCAAACCTAATGCGCTTAATAGCATATCTATTATAGTGTTGAAATAGTTTCAACTCTATAGCTTGGAAGATGTAATTATCCAAACCTAATGCGCTTAATAGCATGTCTATTATATAGTGTTGAAATAGTTTTAACCCTATAGCTTGGAAGATATAATTATCTAAACCTAATGTGTTTGATGGCGTGTCTATTATAGTGTTGAAATAGTTTTAACTCTATAGCTTGGAAGATGTAATTATCCAAACCTAATGCGTTTGATAGCATGTCTATTATAGTGTTGAAATAGTTTTAACTCTATAGCTTGGAAGATGTAATTATCCAAACCAAATGTGTTTAATGTCATGTGTATAACCTGGTAGTTAGAGCTACAAGTCTTCAGGCTGACCACTGATGTCATGTGTATAACCTGGTAGTTAGAGCTACAAGTCTTCAGACTGACCACTGAGGAGTATAGCATGAAATACAAGTGTGATCTTTACCCTTAATTTAATCATTCTATAAAATAGGATTGTTTATATTTTTTTATATTTTCTCAATAATTGAAACTATAACCTCAGTTTTATACATACTGTAAAACTATATGTAACATGTAAAAATAAACACCACCACCACCAGAAACTACTTGAACTACTATTTATTAACAAGTGACTAAAATAATCTATTACTCTTCAACTTTCCAATAAATCAGAACGTGAATGTTATTTTCAAGTACTGTGAAACTGGTTTCCACATACTACTAATGATTTATTTATCTTTTTATCTAAAACCTTTTTACAAATATATGGACAGATAAATACAAAGTTTTGTTCATGTGTTCATACGATTAAGGAATGTTTTTTTCATCAAACAGCCCCATTTTTACAGCTTTACGGCAACTTCAGACTTTTCAAGGAACTTTTACAACCACAAAATTCATGGGTAACTCACATTAACTAATAAACTATCTTACAAAAATAACTGAAGTGTATTTAAAAACTAGATCACTGAAATAACTATAAAAATAAACGTTTTATTTCAAATAAAAAAACAATTTAATCATTTTCTATATTAGACAAGGTACATTACACCTTAATATGGCCACTGTTCCACTTCTTTCTCTTCTCATGTATCTATTTTAAGTTATGGATGATTAACAATCAAGGTTTCAAAAAGTCTTTGCAAAACGTAAAACACGAATTCCGAAAATCAACTAGCAAATATTCAATCACACTCAATACTATTTTGTACAGTGTTTAAAAATTACTAATGAAATTATTGTGGGAAAAAAAATCATAGTCTTGGATCTTCAATTAAAATTTCAAAAAGTATTGGCAAAATGTAAGGTATGGATACCTAAATCAAATTAGCAATTATTCAGTCACACCTGATACTTATTTGTACAGTGCTTATAAATTAACAATGCATATATTTATAATACCTGAATCTTTGTGAAGAAGCACAAACAAACATTTATTTAAGTTTGTAAGAAGTGACACACAGTGTATTCAATTTTAAACTCAGTGTTCAAATTTATCAATCAAAAACAATAAAACAAATCTGAGACACAATGTATCAATTACACAAAACGTGCTACATCAAGATAGTGTTAAAAAAAAATTCTAGACTTTCACTAAATCCTTTGGCATTTATTAAAAATGTAAATAACAGTGGATTGATCTTTTTTTTTTTTAACAAATACTGTTTTAGTTTCCCCCTTTTTGGTCAATGTTTAGTTAAATAAACTCCACAATGGAGCTTATTGCTGTAGTTTGAGTTGTGGTTTACTTCAAGGTAAAAGCACTACACATCCACGATCGAGGAATCATGTAGTCGAAAAAAGAATCCTGTAAATAAAGACAGTTAGCTGATGAATTTCACATTGCTTGTATGGTATCAAGATTTGGGCATTTTTATACAAACACATTATATATTTCATTAAGTCTGTATTTTGTTTTCCATACAGGCAATATATTTAATTGTTTCAAGAAAACCTTGCACTGGTTTCTTGACTATAATTACTTAACACTTACTACTTTGAAAACAACATAAAAATCAGAAAATTCAATAACAACGTGCATGACAGATAAAATGATAGGTAATATATTGTTGACAGGGATGGCAGAAGAGAGAAGTTGAACTGACTGAGGAGATATAGGAGAGGTTGAGTGTCACTTTTACACTCTGAAATGCAATCAGAGCCAACTTGGAGCACATTGCTCAGAGAATTGCGTTGTTAAAAGATCATATACATCAACTAAGTTATTCACGAATCAAGTCTTTGGCTCATGAGATGTAATAAATAAAATTGAGACTCAAGAACTCAAGATATAGGAGAGGTTGAGTGTCACTTTTACACTCTGAAATGTAATCAGAACCAATCTGGAGCACATTGCTCAGAGAATTGAGTTGTTAAAAGATCATATACATCAACTAAGTTATTCACAAATCAATTCTTTGGCTCATGAGATGTAATAAATAAAATTGAGACTCAAGAACTCAGGCTTCCAGTTTTCTTTATTCTAAATATAAATGTTAAAAAAAATTATTAACAAATTCTTGTAATAATTTTATATTGTCTTTCTAGAAGTCATATCAAGTCACTTTCATATTTCTGTGTAGATTCAGCTGTTGAGCATAAAACACTTATGAAAATCTCACGTGTTCAACAACTACACATCTGCCATGATGTGATGCACACTTTGCTTTTGATAACCACTGATCAACTATAGTATTAATTAGTATACTTGTTGGTCTACAATATTTTTCCAAAATTTCATATGGGTAAATGTTCGTCTGAATGTTTGAAAGTAACTATACATTTGTAGTAGCCGTTTTGGGTATTGAAATTAAGAAGTCAGATTTTTTATTTTACCAATTTAATTTTACCAACTGATGGAAATCCATCCTGAGAAGGAACTCTGCCTTCCCTATAGTTGAAGAAGATGCAACACAGAGTACTGGAAAACCAAGTTCATTCTAAATGTTGGAGAGTAGAAAAAAATAGAGCTCAGTCACTAGAAGCAGGCATTTTAAATTGTAAAAAAAAAGTATTAACAGCAGGATAATTTGGTTCATACAAAGTATGGAACTAGTAGTAATACAATACTTACCACAGACCAGATCTCATACTTACCAAAACAGGTGGACAATTTCTTCTAGCATACCATTCCATACTGCACTTATAACAAAGCACCTCTCATACTTACCAAAACATGTGGACAGTTCGTTCTAGCATACCAAACCATACTGTACAGGCATATTAATAATTCATAACCAACACAAAACCAATACTTATCACAGACCAGCTCTCATACTTACCAAAACAGGTGGACAGTTTCTTCTAGCATACCACTCCATACTGTACAGGCATATTAATAATCCATAACCAACACAAAACCAATACTTATCACAGACCAGCTCTCATACTTACCAAAACAGGTGGACAGTTTCTTCTAGCATACCACTCCATACTGTACAGGCACATCAATAATCCAGTGCCAACAAAAAGAGCCAACCACATAAAGATATTCCAGCTTTGAGCTTTTCGTTTATTGGTCAGGAAAACAAAAATCACTACAAAGAAAAAAAAAAGAGCAAACATGTCTCACAGTTCAAAATTTCTGTAGAACTTTTTTTTATAATACTCAGATATTTTGACTTAAAATCTTCAATTTGTAACTGATTTATAATTTAAGCTTCAATTTATGAAGTTTTTACCATTGTCAATTCTAACAACATCAAACTGCTTTAGCGTACATTAAAAAAATATATTGCCAGTATAAGCTAAGAAAATATTACTACAATATGCTGTTGTATTGGATATGTACTGGAAATCATAGAAAATATAGCAATGAATAGAGGTCTGTTTGTGGTTTCAGATATCATTGCTGTAAATAAAACTTAAAAGCTTTTACTAAGTTTTTATTACCTCACCACCCTAGTATGAGAATTGTGATATTTATTCTCTTGGTTTCCCTCTTCTCTAATTTATCTCCACCCTCCCCCTTATCTGAAGCACAGAATTTAATGTAAATTACTCATTATAATATAGATATTACTAGGGCAAAGTAAACTTTTTATAGTCTTCAATCTTATTTGTTTAAGGAGTTATAAACTACAAAATCAGGTCCACATGCCACACCCACCTTTCATAAATACTTTATAATTATCTCCGACACTTTTTATCACATCATTTATAGCCAATAGAAAGGCCAAGTTTTAATCTATTGAATGATGTATAATGATACACTGCTTTATGTACTGTCGATTATGACACTTTGCTTTACGTACTGTCGATTATAATACTTTGCTTTACGTACTGTCGATTATAATACATTGCTTTACGTACTGTCGATTATGATACATTGCTTTACGTACTGACAATTATAATACATTGCTTTACGTACTGACAATTATAATACATTGCTTTACGTACTGACAATTATAATACATTGCTTTACGTACTGACAATTATAATACATTG